TTTTCATGCCGCGCCCCCCCTGCAATGGCTCTGCGCCCCCCCTAGGGGGCGGGCCCCACACTTTGGGAACGTCTGCACTAAGACCATTTCTGGTGAGTCTCAACAAACTGTTGACGGATTAGTTGAAGGATGAGATACACCACTCAGGTCCCATATCAGATCTTTGATACAGTTTTTCTGTTTTCTTAAGGACATGGCTTCCAGATGCTGTTCATCTGCTGTAATGTTTTTTTTCTTCTGCAAGCTTTTTTCTTTCTTTCTTCCACTTGTCCAGTTTCCTCACACCATACTGAGATATGCCAAGTTTCCAGTTAAAAGCTCTTTGCTCATCAAATCGTGTTATTCACGGCAGAGATTTAAATAAAAGATGTGGAAAGAAATTTTCTTTTACTACAGGATGCTAATAAGTCCCTAAAGAAACTGGTTCTTTCCTAACTTTTCTGTAATGTGTAGACTCGATGAGTAATCCTTTGAATTAGCTGCCTTTTTGTGATTGAATGATTCATAGATCCTGTATTACCTGCTGCTGTCACTCACCTCCGCAGCTCACACCTGAGCCGCAGCTTCAGGCCTGCTCTGCTTTAAAAGAAGCCAAACACAGAGAGCAACCCTAACCCTGACATGACGTTCCAGAGTCCACTCACACTAACCAAATAAATACTGGTAATTTAATGAAGTCGGGCAGGAAGAGTATGTTTGTAGAAGAACAGGTTGTCCTCACCGTTTCCAAAGTCTCAGATGACCTGAAGCTGATAAAAGTTAAACTAATGATATTGGTGACTTATTATTGATTTGATTTAGACTCACTATGAGTTTTGATTTGTGCTTATGTCTGAAATTAGATTTTGATGGGAAACACTCATTGAACAGCTCACGGCTGATGTTGAAGTTCAGTCTTGAAACAAGATCATTTTAACATAACGTTCACTCCTTCACGTTAAACTGGACAGAAAGCAGCTCTGTTTCAAACCTGGATCACACTGGGGTTGATGCAGGATTCCCAAATGTTAGAATGATGGAGTCACAACCACTGTTATAGGTAGAATCTGAGAACATTACAGAGCAACTTTTGTTATAAAAATGTAAGAAAGACTAAGACATAACGATTTGATTGTTCTTCAATTTCATTTTCATACAGAGATGTTAGTCAAGACAGACATGAGGTGAGGCTGAATCAGGAGACATGGTATCAAATGAGAGGCTGTGTGGTTTCACTGTTCTACTTTATTTTACAGCCCCCACCCCCAAAAATAAATTAATTAATTAAGAATGTGAATAAAGAGAAGCTGTGTGGTTGAATAAAACTCATGCATCAGCCTGTTGCCTTCATCCTGCGGCAGTGCATCGAAAGCATCATTGGTGAGAGCGAAGAAGGTGTACACCACCTGCTGGTTCAGAAGCTCAATTATACCTGCTCTCTCGATGGCATTGACCAGCATGCTGAAAACAGCAATAAATGATGTTAGATCGAATGGCAACTACACAACAACACACTAACACCTCTGTTTGCTTTCAGTCATTATGCTACACCAAACTAACAGCTTCATGATAATCTAGGCTAACAGATGACTCACTTTTTAGTAGGGGTGGGAGAAAAAATCGATACTGTGTAGTATCGTGATATTTTGTTTGCTAATAATGTATCGATACAGGGGCAGCAGAAATCGATATTTTGTAACAAAATTTTTTTTGTGGACTGGAAGATGCTCTGACTTCAGAGCATGTTGATCAGCTCCTTTTTCTGAGCAAGAATCCTGACATTCCTTCACTGTCCAAATGTGTTTAACTTTTTT